TGATTGCCGGACTTGTAGCGGTAAATCATCGGTACATGATCGGCAATCCCGGCGAAAGTAAAGTATTTTTCGCGTTGCGCAATTAATCGCAATATGAGGGGACGCGTTAACGACAAAGAGGGGAAAATATGGCGACGACGGGGGGCGATTTTGTTCCCGATGAATGGACACGAATTGCACGTATGTCGAAAGCGTAAACGGCGTAATTTTCGAGTTCCTCTCCGAGTCCATCATTAACTAAGCGTGCGTTTTGCGTCACGTCGTAATCGACCGCTTAATTACAACGTTCACCGTGTGCGTTTTGTACATACGGTAGAAAGTTACGGAGGCTTCCTCGAGCTCAAGTTATACTGCTATGTAAGAAAACTAATTGCGATGTCGCTCGTAATTTAGAATGAAAAGTCTCGAGTTATACTCGATAGTTTCACCTGGAGTAAAAATGTTTCAATAACAGCTGAGTAATAGCATTCGTATTAATAACCAGCATAATTGTCTGGATTGCGATATCTATTGCGGGATAACTTGTCGATAAGGATTACATGTACTTTCGCTTTGCTTCCTAAATGATTCAATGTCACCGTCTGAACTATTGCGTCAACGAGCGGCCAGTCAACTTAAATGTCTCTCGTCAAGAAATATCGCTGGAATATATCAGGGAATATATCACGCTCGTTGGACAGAATTGTCGTCGTGTCTCGTTCGCGAATGAAAAACTCTGGGAAAACTCGTTAGCAAGTAACTTCTTACGAAATACTACCAGCTTTTTTGAAGTCGTTTTATATTTTATTTTTTGCAAATTTGATTGATATGCGATTTCTTTTTCCTTAACTTATTTTAATGTATTCTTGTAGCAAATCTGCTACAATTTCTTAAGAGGTTTTTCCATCCTTCATCGAGGATACGTTGGTTTGCATGATATCCGGGATAATTTAATTCACTTCCGTATTCGCTTAACACATCTGAATAAATTTCTCGGCTATTATTCTCATTAATATAAGAGAAATGGTTTCTTAATATTATATATCTTGTAAAAAAATAACTTTAACGTGTTAAAGAGTATAACGACAATTAATTATATTAATGGAATGTAACGCACTAATTATGGAGCTGAACACATTAATTATACGTAATATAAAAATAAAAAGAAACGCGACGCGCGCGGTACGAACGTTCCCTTTCCGGTTGCAAGGCATCTGCAGTTTCACATAAAAATCTTCTGCTAAAATTATACGGTGAAATTTGTACGTCGAAATCTCTTTAAATGTCTTTAAACTCACGCATAAACTCATGCACCTTCGATTTCTGTCTGAATACCCGCCAGCGACCAACAAGTATGTCGCAACCTAAATAATACAGTTGATTTCACCGGGTTTTGTTATCATATATCAAATGTATTATATATAGACCGCACGATTTTGCACTAACGATTTGCATTTTGCATCAACATCCAATTAGTTAATTATTTTTTCCCGACTAATCTCTATCAAATCTTTTTCAATGGATATCTAGGATATATAGGCTCATTTAAGATTGAAAACGATCGTCGATAAATCCGGTTTAACTGGTTTTTCAGAGAAGAGTGAAAATTTCGATAATTGTCGTCTCGTTAATCATCGATGATTGGGATGCGCCGGATAAAAAGATTTGCATCTGATAGCGCGAAACGAGTCGTTGCAATTTCCTTCGCGAACCTCGTCGATCGCAGTTTGCATTTAGGACGAAAATAAATTCGTAATTAGCATCGCGCTAATATTTATGACGCGTGAATCTTCGAGATCGCGTTCCATCGTTTTTTTAACGACGCGGCGATGAAGGAAAGTAAAAAGCCAGAGTCGACAATCAGGTCAGGGTCCCTTTATTAGTTGTTTTTCGACGTGTCACGCGTCGTTGGACGCCATCCCGCCAATCTTCAATCGAAGACGTGTGTTTTGAGGCCTTCAAGGCATCCGGCGGATCCTTCGCGACCCACCCTTTCCTTCTGGAAAGAGATGATCGTTTATAGAGGAATTAGGGTCGCGGATATCAATTGTTATTAACGACCTAGATGCATCTCGATGTCTTGGTTAACTAATTTCTGCTTTCACATTATTATATGCTTCGGATTTTATTTTTAGACAAGCATATTAGCATAATGAATTCTTACGCGAATTCTTGATATATATATATATA